TAGAGTTACACCAGCACCTCCGTTTATGAATTCGGGAGTAGACTATGCAGAGTCCATTCAAGTTAGAGCCACCAAAGGACGAGGACACAAATCCTACAAAGGCTATATAGCAGTTTTCGTCTGCCTATTTACCAAAGCAATTCACCTCGAACTTGTCCGTGACATGACGTCTGAAGCATTCCTAGCGGCATTTCGAAGATTTGTCGCTAGAAGAAGCCAATGCGCAAATGCTTACAGCGATAATGGAACGACATTTGCAGGAGCATCGAAACAATTGGAAAACGAAATGAACATAATAATCCACACGCCAACATTACAAAACACAATAATAAATATTGGTACCCAGTGGCACTTTATCCCCAAGCCGCACCACATTTTGGAGGAATATGGGAAGCAGGGGTCAAATCAATGAAATCCATATGAAGCGAGTCATTGGAGAGTGCACTCTAATATATGAGATACAGAGATCAGGAGCTTATCCCAAAGATGGCGACTCATCCAAAAAATTTAAAAAAACCTCTGGCGTGCTTGTAGTAGAAAATACCTTGCAAGATAATATGATTAACACAGATGGAACACTTGTTCTCATGGGAACGTTGCTCCTCTGTTCCAAGAATAAGGGCCCTGGTTCTAGACTTTTTCTTATGAGAGGTTTTCGAATTTCGATGACGATTTTTTCTTTTCTTCGGCATTATTGTTATCACTTTTGTACATCTTTATAATAAGGCCATATTCCATTGGGTCTTGAATACATTTCCTATTGATAGCTTGAAAAGTATGGGTGATTTCAAATCTCCCCATCTCCCTCCTGATTGGTGCGTGGTGTTCTTCATAGAAAAGTGATTTATATTCTTGATATAGAAGGCTCACTTCTGTTGTAGTCGGCCAGTGACATTTCCGACGGTGCTGCCATAGCGGTGTAGTCATTGAACTAATATTTGGCGGGCCGTTTGAATCTCGGTTTTAAATGACTGGTTTGACATTTCAATTATTTCAAAATAAGGCAGTGCTTCAAAACTTCATAAACTAAAATTTTATTCATTTTATTTTCATATATTTATGTGAGAATCACTCAAAGAATAAAATAGTTTTTAATCTATTCATAGATGATCTGGCGTATCTGACTCATGAGCTGACTGGAGCACTTTTCAATCTGCTTTTTGAAAATGTCCATTTTTTTCCAGTTAAAAGGCTGTCATATTTGATCAAGTTATTTATAATTCCCTCGAACGTGTATGGAACATCATACAGTGATACGATTTCTAGGTTGTTTATTTCCAACAAAACCAAAATTTCTGTTTCTGTGTTGTTTTTGATGTAGATTTCCCTGGTATGTGGTATGTGGTTGCAATTCGCTTTTGGCCTATTCATTTTTTGCCGCCTGGTCACACACTGTGGCAACAACTCTTAAACCGGCTGCTTATGATGATGCACTTATAATTTCTTTCACAGTCTTGAAATTCAAAACAATCATCGACAATGCACTCAACAAATTAATTTGTGAAGATGACATTTGCATTATGATGTTAAATAAATACCTGCGTTTTTATGACTGGTTTTTATATACACGACGATTCTATGTCGGTCATTGTCATTTTCTATTCACTAAACAAAGACAGCTAACTCATCGGTGATGTCAGAGATTAGAATAAGAACGAGGGGGACGTTAAGAAACGGCGATATGGGCGCACAGCGGTGTAGTCACGAACTAAAACAAAAAGTGGCGGGGATGAATCCAGTGAATGTTCTATTTAAGAATTTATAAATCACTTTTCTATGGTGTTCTTCTCCCCTCACATCTTCCAGATGATGTAAGTATTGTCAATGTGACATTTGAGCCGCGAGTCAACTTGAGGTTTCTTTGTTGCTGTTTCTATGGCTTACAGCTGAATGTTCAATGCTATCGAATGCCTTCCAATACTCTAGGGAAGCATGATAGGGGAGAATATGCTACCCATGCAGACAGCACGCAGACATCTTATACACTTCATAAGTCCCTGAGATGTCCACGACCACAATTGACATTCAAGACGTCCTGTAGACGTCTGCGTACGTCTTCCAGGCATCTTACTCGAATACATCTTAGATACGTCGCGTAACAAAACCCAACTTCTTTCAGGCGTCTGTCTAAAAACGTCTTCAGGAATAATATTTTGTAGAGGAAAAATCAAGATCCTGGAATAGGAAAAATTATAAAAATTCAAGAATTTGAAATGAAAGATTTCTTGCTAATATTTACCTATTATTACCTACTTATTTTATAACTTTCAATTTTTGACTATTCTAGGTGCTAAACTCTCTGAAATAATTCTGATATGTTCAAATTGTTTTGAAGCCGTCAAAAATGCTACTGGAAAGTGTTTTGGAAAGAAACGTTCTAATTGGCATATAGAAGTTTTAAAGTATTCTAGCTTAACTTGAAGAATTCTGTAGCATCCTAGAAGTTTTTCAGTAATTTCTAGATTGTTCAGACAGATTTTCTAGTATTTTAGAGTCATATTGAACCTCCAAAATGTTCTAAATTGGTTCAAAAGAGTGCTAAAAGGTTCTGAAGTTTTTAGATTGTTCCAAAATGCTCCTGTTAAATGTTAATCCTGTGCTAAATGGTTTCCAGTAACTTCTATAAATTGAATGAGAAACGAATTCTGTGGGAAATTTTTGTAGACATCCTAAAGACGTCCTCAAGATTTCCACCAAACGACATTCAAGATGTCTTGTGAATTTAGGACATCTTTGGACGTTAATTTTTTTGGCCTTCAGACGTTCAGATGTAATGCAAGCCTAAAAAAGACGTCTTCAAGACTTTATGTGCTGTCTGGGATTTATCCATTTCAGGTGATAAGTGTATGGTAATGATTTTCATGAGCAACTTGTATACAGAGTGGCATAATACCTGTAACTTTTCAATTACCTCGTATACAAATGAGTAACCCTTATGAAAGTGGCTCAGTAAATTATTTCCCACATTTCTACCTAGACGAATTGTTTCGGTCACTCCTGGGTTGTTTGCTATCCAGATTAACTTTGTTTTTGCTGATGTGGATGCATATTTGGATTCTACAGTCGTGAGCATTAAAAGTGGGACACCCTACTGACAGGTCTTGTCATTTTTCGCTATTTTAGGTAAATCAGTCTTTTCTCTACAATGGCATTGCCTTAGGTATTAGAATATCCAAGATGCTGTCAAACTTAAATTAAAATGTCCGCCAAGAGGCACACAAACCCGTTGTTTGCTTGTCAAAGTCACCTGTTTTGGATAGGCTGACAATTCCAAGATGCTGTCAAACTTAAATAAAAATGTCCGCCAAGAGGCACACAAACCCTTTGTTTGCTTGTCAAAGTCACATGGTTTGGATAGGCTAATAGCGGATGAGCTCATTCCACAATAGGAAAAAACGGGTGTCCTACTTTTTATGCTCACGACTGTACGTGAAATTCTAAGCAGATTCACGTGATATACCCTATACCTGAGTTCAACTGTGTTGGAAATATTGACAGTTGAAAATTGACTTTTTTGCAACTTTGACAGGCTGTAAAACCTAAACGGTTAATTCAAGAGGAAAACCGATCTCACATTCCCAACTTAGATTTTCATAAACTATCATTTGACAACAACTTTGAATTTATTCCATGATTGAGAATTCCAATTATATTTAATCTCCGGTTAAATTCAAAGTTGGTGTCAAATGATGGTTTATGAAAATCTAAGAAAAGAATGTAAGATCGGGTTTTCTCTAAAATTTAGGTTTTACAGCCTGTCAAAGTTGCAAAAAGAACAATTTTTAACTGTCAATATTTCCAAAACAGTTGAACTTAGGTTATTAAGGGTATATCACATGAAATGTACTCAGAATTTTACGTAGAATCCATAAATATGCAATCACATATAGGGTGTTTCATTTGAAAAAACAAAAATGGTCTGGACAGCAAACAAACCAGAAGTGACAGAAACTATTCGTCTCGGTAGAAATGTGGGAAATAATTTACTGAGCAACTTTCATTAAGGTCACTTTTTGATATACGAGGTAAATAAAAAGTTACAGGTATTATGCGTGACTTTTTTGCCACTCTGATAGCAATTTAATAACGATATTGGACAGTCATTTCTGATTAGTTCTATCACATTTTTTTTAAAGAGAAGAATACCAGGAGAGTAGGTATTTTTTAATTTCTATGGTATTTCGGCATTCTGTGATGATACAATATCGTATTTTTTCATTTTTTTTAGCATTTCAGAGCCCATTCAATTCCATTTCCTCCTGGTAATTTGCTATGTTTTCCAGATAGGTATATTTTCGGAACGGATATTGCACCTAGCGCATAATTTATTTTTTTAGAAAAAAATCACCTTAATCAGATGCCACTGAATTATTGGGATTACACAGTTAGATTTTCCGCTAATTAACACACTATATGGTATGATAACATCAAAGAATTTTTCTTCACCATTGTTCAAGGAATACGAAATTCGCATATACGAGTGCGGTGCGCTGCTAAACGTATTACCCAAGCCATTATTTCGTCATGCTTCGTTATAAATTGAAAACTAAGTTAAATAACGGTTAAATAGTGAGAAAATTGATTTTAATTGCACCAGTAATTTCTTAAGTATCCTCTCTTAACTAATAACGAGTACCTAATTAGTGGTTTAATTGAATATTAATTTATTTATTGAAATTAAGTGTGTGTATATTTTGCCTGATGATGTTGTTTGTTTTTCTTCTTCAAGCCAAGCTACAAACAATTTTCTCAGGATCAAATGCAAATATTTCAAAATTACATATGACACTCTAAAATGTCCTTATTAAGTTTATATTAAACATAAACCGTCTATATTATAAACTTCCTGCGGTTGTTAAGTTATATAATGTCGTCGATTCATTTCCTAATATCTTGGTTCTAGATTTAATGAAATTTGAAGATCGTAATAAAATACATAAAATATTTTGTTGGCTAATGAAAAATGTACTATATACCATTATTCTTTTATTTTGTTTCAGATCAAAATAATAACACTGATCCTGATCTGGATCCATACGTGCTATTCTATAGAACAGTATCAGCGAGAAATATATTTAGCACCGAGAAATTATAATCCACATCCGTACGAGCAATTAGCAAAAATCCAAAATCCAGGTCCGGTTCTATTTCCAGTGTCAGATGACGATGACCAAAATAATAACAGATACAATATCGTTACTGTGGATAATTCGAAAATCAATAACGACATTAGCCCATATGCAAGAGTGACGCAAAAAATTAAATATTTGCTCAGCAGCAGGCAATATAGCAGCAAAAGGGTAAGGGATATGTTTTTTTAATTTGAAAACCCAAACACGTAAAAATTCCCGTTTGAAAATAGAAAATGTTTCATGGTTGTTCACATATCGGAAAATCTGGACAACATGTCATGTATGGTAAATCAATTTTCGCACAAATAGAAAATAGGACTTTGACTTTTTTTTTTGTGGAAAAAAGGGCTTGTTCAATTATGGGGATAAAACTTTAATATTCGATATTTCGTTTAGTTTATTTAACTTGACTGAGGCCTCTCTGGTTTATTCATAGTAAGTTTTTACGTAGGAATAAATATTGCGTTTTTATTCGTCAGATTGTATTACCTCAACAGTTCAGAAGATGAATAGACCAGGCCTAAATATGCGAAAAAGAGGATTTAAATCTATAGAGACTAGAGAGCCTTGAATTCTTCATTCTTAAGATCTTTACATTGCATTTCTGTTGGCAAAATTTCATATTTGAATCAGGGATTCCTGTGACGATTCATGAATCACTTTGATGCCAATATCATGCTATTTACTTTTACTTATAACGTATGTTTATTGTTCACCTAAAATATTCCGAGGTATGTTTTAATTCTATAGCTCTTATAACCTTCGCCATTATGCCCGGAATAACAACCAAGTGCTCACTTTATTCTTTTATCCTCCCTTTCCCTATAATAGCACAAGGTTTTTTGAATTCTGTTAAACGTCGAAACGTCCGAAATATGTTAACAAAACTTTCATAATAAATAAGAACGTGATTTAGACTTTTGATTTACGTTGTTTCCAAAATCTCAGCTAAGAACAATTAAAGAAGGTTTTCTTTCTGTCGGTTCATAAAAGTATGTTTCTTATAAAACCCAGACAGCTCAGAGACACCTTAAAGACGCTCCTAAGAAGTCCACGAACGACATTCAAGACGTCTGCTTACATCTTCAAGGCATCTTGAAGACATTTTGAAGACATCGACCCACAATGTCTTTCAGGGGTCTGGCTAAAGACGTCTTCAAGACTAATATTTCACTATTTAATTTGTCAATTCCAAACGCTAGGCTCTTAAATTCTTGATTTTTTTCTCAAATAAAAACATAATTGCCCAAAATTCATTTTGGAAAAAAAAACCTTAGAAGACTAAGGAGTAAAAATCTTAGAATGAAAAAATTCAAGAGCCATAAGAAAGTTAAGAATTTAGAACAACAAGAAAAAATCAAGAGCTAGGAATAGGAAAAGAGAAACATTTTCTTGCTAATATTTCCTTATTATTACCCATTTTATAACAGTCAATTATTGTCTATTCCAGGCGCTAGGCTCTCTGAAATAATTCTGAGGTTTTTAAATTGTTCCGAAGCCTTTCAAAATGCTGCTGGAAAGTGTTTTGGAACTTTCTGAATGGCCTATTGAAGTTCTAAGGTATTCTAACTTAGCTTAAAGAGTTCTGGAGCATTTTAGACGTTTTTCAGTAACTTCTAAATTTTTCTGAGTTTTTTAGGTATTATAGAGCCCTATATTGAAGCTCCAAAGTGTTCTAAATTGATTCAAAAAGTTCTAAAAGGTTTCCAGTTATCTAGTTCTAAATTGAATCCTAATTGTTCTGAAATAATTTTGAAGTCTATAAATTGTTCCAAAATGCTGCTAAAAATTCTGATTTGATGCTTATTTTAAAGGTTTTATGTTCTACAGCAATTTAAATTCGCTCTTGAACGCCTTCTGAAAGGCGTTTTGTACCTTTCAACCTGAATCCTAAGATTCTCGCGCTTTTTAAAATGTTTCTGGAGATTCCAGAGTGTTTGTTCTAAAATGCTTTTGTAAATTGTAAATCGGTTTTTGAATGTTTTGGAGCATTCTAAAATGGTTCTGAAGTTCCCAAATTCTGTTGCTATAGAATACTTTTGGATATTCTGATTTCAATTTTAAGTGTTCTGAACTTTTCCAAAAAGCTTATTAAAGTTCTAAAGTATTGTCAAGGCTCTGGGGTGCGTGAAACTCTTTACACTCATATAATAATCACTATCTATCTAAAACGTATTACAGCCAATCTTAAACTAAAAACTACTAACTAATACCGGCCTTCATAGGTCTGTAATCCATTCTTGTAATATCCAGAATAAACGCGATAATGTCTTTGCCCGAATAAGGCAGTATTTTCTAGATTTCAAGTTAGATCGTGTGCACCATGGCGAAAGCGCACCGCTATACTGCCCTCCTCTTAAGGTTAATCATCCCGATTAACTTCACGCCCATGATATTTCGTCAATCTGTCTAGATGTGCAACTTTCATCTTGCTCCTGGTGTTGCGCTGAACTCGATAAACCAAATCATTGATCCTCTTGACTACTCTGTAGGGTCCTTTCCATGCTGAAGACAATTTCAGCGATACTCCTTTCTTTCTTGCTGGATTATACAGCCAAACTCAATCACCTTCTTGAAATCCGGCTGAATTTACTTTCAAGCCATATCAGTCTTCATTCGTTCACTGGCCAGCTGGATGTACATACTTCCGACCGAGCTAAATCATGTATCCTCAGAAGTTGTGCCCTTACTTTGTCGGCATAATCTCGAATTTCTTTCCGTTCTTCTTCAGGTATTCCAAAAATCAGATCACTAGGTAACCTGAGTTTCCCTCCAAAAACGATTCCAACTGGACTTTCACCTGTTGACTCGTGAACAGCTGGTCTGTAAGCCATTAAAAATAGAGGCAAGTGTTTGTCTCAATCTCGTTGGTTCTTTGCGACCATTTTTGTGAGTGTTTTTCTATGATCTTATTAAATCGTTCTACCATGCCATCAGACTGTGAATGTGAAGGTGCGGTCGTTGTCTTACGAATGCCCATGATCTCACAAATTTTCTTAAAGATGGCAGATTCGAAGTTTCGTCCCTGATCTGCATGCAACTCTAGTGGCACATCATGACGACTGACGACCTGGGCAATAGCGATGGCTTCTTGATTGGGAATAGCAAAAATTTCTGGCCATTTACTGAAGAAATCCATGATAACCAAGATGTATTTCTTACCACGCTCTGACTCAGGGAACGGCCCGGCAACATCTATTGCTATTCTTTCAAATGGGAGACCGACGATGTACTGTTTCATGGGCCCCCGAGATCTTAGTTTAGGGCTTTTACTGCTAGCACAGATGTTGCATTTTCGACACCAGTTTTAACGTCTTCATGATAGTGAACCCCAAATTCCAATTCCAAAATGTGGCCCTGAAGTTCCGCAACATATTTCTTTTGATACTTCTACTCGATCTTTTGGAATAACTAGTTGGCTGTTAGTAGATTTTCCATCGGCACTTTCCCAAATTCTTTCCAGTAAACCATTTTCTACGGCCAGAGAGTTCCACTGAGCCTGCAACGCCTTGTAAATCAGACTCTTGTTCGACACTTCCAATCTGGCCTACATTCGTCATTTTCTTTGATGTAGAAATTGCCCGATGTCCTGTTCTGCTTCTTGATCTGCTCTCACATGTTAGGTAGTCCATTCATCATCAACGATCAGAACCGTTCTTCTCACCAGCCGCAACAGTGTTTTTCTCATGCATGTCCCTTCTTTGACAATGCTTGCAGTCTTCTTTGCATGGCCTTCTAGACAGAGCGTATAAGCATTTTTTTTGCAGGTTTCCAGGTCGATGTTTAATTTGGGAATTGTATTGCTGCACTTTTTCATTCCATCTAGCAAGCTGCAGGGCCGGTCCAATAGCTATTTTATGCCGAGGCAAAGTTCAATTCTGGCGCCCCCCTTCTCAAATTTTATTGTTAAAATAGTTTAAGATAAATTGACCATTTCAGTACAGATGACTATATAGTTCAGGCCAACCTGCACTGGTACCAAGGATGAGACAAACCTTAGAGCCTACAGGATTGTTTATCGACCTCGTTTTTGGTAATCGCCGCCATATTGGTATGTCACCATTTCCGGCGACATAACTTAAGTCATCAGCTGTTTAAACAGCCTACGTCAAAGCGAGAAATAACATGCTGCCTACGTCACAGGTACAACACTCGAAACTCTGAAACACATTCAACAGTGAAACCGCAGTTCAACAGAACTTGCGTTGAACCATTATTTATGCAACCGGCCCTAGACAATTTGCTCTGGAGGGCAATGGGTAATTTATAACCAAAAATTACATTATTTTGGCATTTTTCGACAAGTTTTTAACCTATGGTGTATTTTTCCCAAGATGGATTTTAACATTGAAAACTTTGAAACATAAACAATACCGCTTTTTTTTTTTTTTTTTTTTTACGGATATGCGCACTCGCAAGGAAATGCCCTATGACGCTCGAGAAGCTGCAAGTGCGCGTAAATGTCGGTGTATGTTGGTCTTGAAACGGTCCAGGTTGTAAGCTGCAGGGAAAACCGTCGCAGGGAGTTTATTCCACAGCGACGCTGTTCTCCAGAGATATGAATTCTGATATAATGAGGTTCTTGGTGCCTCTAGTTTGACAGTAAATTCATGGTTACCGTCTGTTTGACGGGTTCGCCTGGTAGGTGCTACTCTCGGTGAAATCATACGTGCCAACTCTTCAGAGCATTTTCCGTGATAGTACCTGTAGAAGAGAGATAAATCGCCCACAGATCTGCGATGTTCGAGACCATCCAAGTTACGAGTAAGTGCGGGGTCATTGATCAGCTTGATAGCTCGTTTCTGCACGGTGTTCAAAAGCATTAAGGTATGTTTGGGTGCTGCACTCCATATATGTGAGCAGTACTCCATAGTTGGTCGAATCTGGGCTTTGTAGAGTGTCAGCAATTGGCTTGGTGTGTACAGATGTCTTGTACGAAATAGCACCCCCAGCTTTTGGGACGCCCTTTTAGCAATATCTGCCACGTGACTGTGCCAAGACATGTTGGTCTCTGCAGTAACCCCCAAGATGTTCAACTGACTCTGTAATGTGACAGCACTTCCCGATAGCATAATGTTTGGCTCACCGGTGCTGGTCTTTTTTGAAAACAGAGCTGCTTGGGTTTTCTGTGCGTTGAACTGCGATATTTGAGTTAATCTAAGATGATG